ACTTTGTTTTGGCACGCATTTTAAGGTAAGTAAAGAAAGCTAACTCCCTTTCCATTTATGCCCTTGTTCTCCTGGTAGTTTGAATATTTGGTAAAGTATATTTCTTCTTCTTTCTTTTATGTCATTTGAGAACTGTACTACTCTGTATATTTCTTCATCTCACTTGAAAATAATTCAATCATCTTTCTTCAATTTTTTTTTTTTGTGCGAGACCCATTCATAAAAAAAAAAAAAAAAAAAAAAAACAAAGTATAAGAAATGTAGATCCATGTATCCAACGCCAAAACTCTCTGATCCATGTATTTGAACATTCATCAAATGTAGATCCATGTATCCAACGCCAAGTTCATCTCTGCTTTCGTGCTGCACGTAGTCTCTATTTCTGCTAGCCGGAGCTACACGGCGGTGACGGCGGCGCAGGGGTCTGTTTCCGGCGGAGCTAGGAGGAGCAACACCATGCTTAAGAAAGGAGGAGATGAATCGAGGAAGAGCGTACCCACCTCATGAATTTCGGTTCTCGTAATCGGAATCCACTAATATGATGTTTAGCTATACAATATGTTCTTCATTTCTCTATGTTTGAGAAGTGAAAATGAAGTTCGTGAAGTGGAAATGAAGAAATCGAAGAAGACAAATGTAAACATGTTTTTCACTTTTTTTCTAATTAGGCACGACTTTTGAGGAATTTGTGTGGATGAGAGTTGTTGGCCTGATGAGGGTTATTAGCCTGATAGAGTAGTTGTAGTTTAAGTTAAAAGGGTAAAATAGGAAAAAAAAAATATAATGATGTTCATTTTTGGAAATTGGACAATATTTTGGGACGGATAAAAAAGGAAAGTAAGACAGATAAAATGGGACGGAGGGAGTAGTTTCGTTTGACTAAATACGAAAACGAAGTTGATAGATTAGTTCTGAATTCTCCATGGACAGGTCTGGAAGGGGTGGAGTTGCAAATGGTTTTGTACACGTTAAAACAAATTAAAGCTGCTACAAACAACTTTGATAATGCAAACAAGCTCGGAGAAGGCGAGTTTGGTCCCGTAAACAAGGTATTGATTTGAGAAGATGGCTTATAAGTGTAAAGTTTGGGGCTTCATCCTCTAACAAATGGTCTTTTTAAGGGTCGGTTAGCTGATGGTACCTTGATTGCGGTGAAGCAACTATCCTCCAAATCGACGCAGGGAAACCGCGAGTTTTTGAACGAGATTGGCATGATTTCTTGCTTGCTACACCCGAATCTCGTTAAGCTTTACGGGTGCTGTATTGAAGGAGATCAGTTGCTGGTTGTGTATGAATACATGGAGAATAATAGCCTTTCTAGTGTGAGCATATAGCCATCTATGTGCAATCCAACTATCAGCTTAGGCTTTTAGTTGAGATGGAGCACATGCTTCAATTTGGTATCAGAGCCAGACCAAAGGTCACGGTTTCGAATCTCAACGCCACGCCACTCGTAAGCGACTACGGTTTACCGGTCCACGTGTTGCTTGGAACCCACCGCACACGTGAGGGGGCGTGTGAGCATATAGCCATCGATGTGCAATCCAACTATCAGCTTAGGCTTTTAGTTGAGATGGAGCACATGCTTCAATTTCTAGTGCATTGTTCGGTAAGTCTGTTACGTTGTAACGTCAAACACTCCCTTGGTAACGAGAAAGGATGTCTAAATATTTTTCAATACTTTCGGCGGTTTGTAATGCTTAGGCTCGGAGAAGAGTCAATTGATACTGGATTGGCCAACGAGATTCAAGATTTGCTTAGGGATTGTGAAAGGTCTAGCCTTTCTGCACGAGGAATCTGGCCTTAAGATTGTTCACAGAGACATTAAAGCTACCAACGTGCTGCTTGACCGGGACCTCAACCCGAAAATTTCAGATTTTGGACTGGCTAGGCTTACTGAAGGCGAGAAGACCCATATTAGCACGAGAGTCGCTGGGACAATGTAAGTTCGTTTTGCACTCATATCTAGAGATGACCACGGTTCCGGTTCGAACCGTAGGTTCGAACTGGAACCGTCACTGTTTAAACCGGAACCGAACCGGAACCGTCCGTACGGTTCCGGTTCCGGTTCTTAACCGGAACCTATAAGGTTCCGGTTAAGGTTTGTAAAATCTTGGAACCGGAACCGGCGGTTCCGGTTCCAAACCGTAAAAAAATAAATATTATAGTGTTTTTTTTTTAATTTTTTTTAAATAATTCCGGTTAGAACCGGCGACCGGAACCGCCGGTTTTGAACCGGAACCGGAACCGGAACCGGAACCGTGGTCACCCCTACTCATATCCAACTGCAAAGTACTTCCATCGTCGTTTCTCGTTTTGATTATATTACAAATTGTTAAAGCTTTGCTAGACAATCATTGTTTTTTATGATTCAGAGGTTATATGGCACCCGAATATGCGTTATGGGGTTACTTGACCTACAATGCAGATGTTTACAGCTTCGGAGTTGTACTGCTAGAAGTCATTAGTGGCAAGAACAATAACAACTACATGCCGAGCCACAATTGCATTTGTCTTTTAGATTGGGTACTCTCTTTTGGTCCCACGACCATGGGATCATCTCCACATTTGGTCCTTGACTATTAATTTTTTCACATATGGTCCCGCAACTTTAAAATCCTTGCCACATCTGGTTCCTCCGACCTAATTTCATGTTACTAGTGACAAGATTTTAGTCAAGTGACTTATCTTGAATGGCAAAATTGTCATTTACAGTTTCCTTCCCGAGAAGTTTTTAAAAAAGTAATGAAAAATGATAAATTTTCCCTTTAAGATAAGTCACCCGTGATTGAAAATTAGGTCGGAGAGATCAAATGTGGCTGTAGAGATTTAAAACTTGTGGTACCAAATGTCGGGAAATAGTCCCATAGTCGTGTAACCAAAAGTGGAAAGACCCTATAGTTATTAACATAGATATCTGGAAAAGGCGGGGAAATGTTAATGAATGATCTCTCATAATGTTCCAGGCTTGTCACCTGCAACTCAGCGGAAACATGGAAGAGCTCATTGATCCAAAGATGGGTGGTCTTATCAACAAAAAAGAAGCAGAAATGAAAGTGAAAGTCGGGCTATTGTGCACGAGTGTAACTCCATCTCTGAGACCTATAATGTCCGAGGTTGTGGGCATGCTCGAAGGCAAAATCGCCATCCCTGATGAGATCCCAGAGGCGAGTACGTACACCGATGACTTGAGGTTCAAGGCCATGAAAGACTTCCACTGCGAAAAGCTTAAGCAGATGTCCACTGGAAGCCAAACTCAGTACTCAACAACAGTTCAAACCGACTTAGGTTCTACGTCTACTTCTGCTACTGATTACTATGAATATGATCCTTCATCGCGATCCAAATGAGATATTTATACCGTTTTTCTGCTTCTCACTTGTACAGCACTTCGCCTGCCTCGAGGGGCACTGCCATCCCACAATTCGACCATTCCCCGGCCTTCATGGTATTCATTATCTGACTAGCTGCTATAGTGTTTTGGTCTTCTTTTTTACACTTTTCACCATAGTGATTGTCTTAGTGAGTAAATATATGTTCAGAAGTTTTGGAGTGTAGAGAGGTTTTTGTAGTGAAATCTACAGAGTAGGGACTGGAAACTTGTACAAACTTGTTGCAGAGACAAGAGTACTTGAAATCTATTTTTTCAAGAAATATAGTCTTTCCCATATAGGGACGCACTCAGGTGCGAATAAGTGTCCAGGAAGGAAATGCGAACGAATCAGCGCGCGACACGTGTCCAGATCTAATAACTTAAAAAAAAAATGCGGTGGCATTTTCATAAATAATTGAACATCGAAGTGCAAGTAAAAATCTTTTATAAGTGCACCTATTTTCACCTATAAGTGCATGTAATTTTGCCTTGTTAGCATTCACTTTCCGCAATTATTCATGCACCTGGGTGTGTTTATAACTATATGTGCAACTATTTATAACTATAGGTGCAACTACTTATAACTATAGGTGCACCTACTTTTACCTATAAGTGCATGTAATTTTTCCTTATTAACATTCATTGATCTGAGTTCAGCGGGTAGTAATACTCCTGAAAACCACTCGCAAACATTCATACACCTAGATGCAACTACTTATAACTATGTGTGCAACTACTTAGAACTATAGGTGCAACTACTTAGAACTATAAGTGCAAGTAAGTATTGATGCTCAGTGTAAATTTTTACTTGCACCTATAATACATTTTACATGCACTTGTAATACATTTTACTTGCACTTCGATGTTCAATTATTTACGAAAATGCCACCGCGTTTTTTTTTAAAATCAGTGTTTCTCAACCATTAGATCTGGACACGTGGACGAACATAATCCATTCCTATTTCGCGTCTGGGCGAGCCATTCGCACCCGAGTGCAAGTCTATATATATATATATATATATATATATATATATATATATATATATATATATATATATATATATATATATATATATCACAACTATTTCACAAAAGCAAAACATACTATCAAGTTTGGAGAGACTGAAAATAGGAAACCAATTAATGCAGATTCTGAAACTCACAAGTGCAAATCTATGCTGGTTTTGAGTTGTTGTGCTGAAATAAATGGTTTCCCAAAGGAATTAAATCAGCTTACACCATCACTTGTGAGTTTCAGAAAGCTCACTTAATTCTTTTGGGACACCATTCATTTATTTTAGCAGATCACAACAACTGAAAAGTAGCATAGATTTGTAGTGTTGTTCTTGAATTCAAGCAGTGCTGCTGGGAGAAGCAGAACGCTGGTGTCTGTCATCCCACCCCTTGAAGTGCTCCTCGATTTTGAGTGCTCAGTTGTGGAAATCTCACCATGTGGTTGAGTTTCTCTGACAGAAGAAAGTTGCTTTAAACTTTCCTTTAGATCCTTCAATGGAAGTTTCTCCTTTAAAACCTTGACAACTTGAGACATGGTTGGTTTAAGCACAATAATGCTAGTTCTAACATTGTATCTGCTTGATTCCAATCCACTTTGTTAGATATGCTTTTGTCAACTAGATTCATAAAATGCCCTTCTCTCTGCTTTTCACGTGCCGCCTGCAATGCATACCACAATATATGATATATATGATAACATTACTCACAACGACTAACGATGCAATGATATAATTAATTAAGTTTGAGTCCGATCCTCACGAGATCTGGAAGGTACTCGGTGTCAGCCCCGCTGCTAGACATTGAAATCTTTTCTTTCTTTCCACTAACAACTATAAGTACAACAACTCCAAAGTTATACACATCTGCCTTTGTTGTTAAAATGTCATATTTTACGTATTCAGGTGCCATGTATACCCTGCATATCCATCAGAATGCATGCTTTCAAGTGAGAACCTATTGCCTATTTGATTGTTTACTCATTTACAAGTTTGAGAAAGATTTGCCCAGAAAAATATGAGGGACCAATTATATTACACTGTTCCTTCTTCCCGTAACGACTTTCCCTGGTCATGGAGCCTAGAAAATCCAAAGTTAGATATCTTAGCATTGTCATGTTTGTCAAAAAAAAAAAGGTGGTTGGTTTGATATTTCCATGAACATTTTTCTGCTTGCCCTCATGAAGAAAAGCTAGACCTTCTGCTATGCCAAGGCAAATGTTGAGCCTTTTTGCCCAATCTAATCTCGACCGGTTTGAACCTGTGATCGAAGAAATTGTACTACTGTTGTTTACTGCTGCTACACTATAATAGACATGCTTGCTAAAAAACTTGAGTATCAAGGTAGAGATGGATATGATGAAAACATCACTATATGGTTACAACTTACAAGACTATTATGCGTGTGAAGAATATTGGGAGAAAAGGTTGTTTTCATTACTAATGAAGTCCATAATATATACAAGAATTTAATGGAGGTTTAGGGTTGGGGTTCAACCTTTTGGAAGAAGAATTTAATGGAGGTAATGCTATACAAAAGACTATTCAAAAGGAAAGGAAATAAAACAAATGAAAGAAAATAAAACTAGCTGTACAGAATATACTCCAAGACTCAATAATCACTGCAATATTCCTTCTGATTTATTTCCACGATTTATTTTCATATCATCATGCCTCCCTCAAGTTGGAGGGTGGAGATCCACAACGCCCAACTTGCCAAGCAAGAGATGAAACCTATCTTTCCCAAGCTCCTTGGTGAATAAATCAGCAAGTTGGACCTTGGTATGTATTTTTCGTGGAGCTATTTCATTGGAATGCATTCTCTCACGAACAAAATAGCAATCCATTTCCACATGCTTGGTCCGTTCATGATAAACAGGATTTGCTGCAATATGTAATGCTGCTTGGTTGTCACAAAATAAAGGTGTCGCATGTTTTCGTTGAGAACCAAGTTCAAACAATAACCAACGCAACCATAGTAACTCACTTACAGTAACTGCCATTGCCCTATACTCTGCTTCTGCAGATGACCGGGATACCACAGATTGTTTCTTTGTTCGCCAAGAAACTGGAGCACCTCCAAGAGAAATATAATAACCCGTGCACGAACGACGCGTGGTAAGACATCCTCCCCAATCAGCATCACAATAAGCTGTGAGAGTCAAACTACCTTCTTTAGGAAGTAATAAACCTCGTCCTGGTGCCCCTTTAAGGTAAAGCAGGACTCGGATGGCAGCGTCCATGTGCTCTTGTCGTGGCATAGCAACAAATTGACTAAGAGTATTAACAACATATGTGATATCTGGACGCGTAACTGTGAGATATAAGAGGCGTCCCACCAATCTACGATAGTGAGCTGCATCAACCAAAGAACCTGTACTATCTGCCCGTAGCCTGTGGTTTTGTTCAATGGGGAAGTTACTAGGGCGGCAACCATGTAAACCACTCTCACCAAGAATGTCCAACGTGTATTTTCGTTGGCTCAAAACCATACATTGCGTAGTTCGTGCTACTTCAATCCCAAGGAAGTACTTTTGAGGTCCCAAATCCTTAATGCCAAATCCAGAGTCCAAGAAGGATTTAATCTTGTGAATCTTGTCAGGGTCATTCCCAGCAAGAATGACATCATCCACATATATCAAGGCGACAACAAATTTTGTACCATTATTGTATAAAACAACATTTTCGTGTTTTGCCCTAAAAACAACCTTTCGGTGTTTTTGGCGCAGCGGAAATGTTAACTTCGTTTATTTGCTTTGCACGGTTTTTGGTTATAACGAAAGTTTTGGTAGTGATGCGAAAGATAAAATGATGCAGAAATGGAAAGCAAAATTAAAGAGATAGGGAGACGAGATTTTTATAGTGGTTCGGCCAACTTTGCCTACTCCACTCTTCTTCCACAACTTCTGGAAGGATTGCACTATCACTCATTAGTACAATTACACAAAGACTTCCTTGATCACTAAGCCAGACAGCCTTCGTAGGTTTTTCAACTTCTCGAGTTTACTCCGCCTCTAACAACTTCTTCTTCAGAGTTGAGGTTGGTAGAAAATGATTTCTGATTTCTCCAACGTGATGAAGTCTTGACTGAGAGGAATGATTGCTTCGTATAAATAGCAAGACTTCCTTAAGGTGTAAGATGAAGATCAATGAACTTCTTCAAGTATCTTTACACCTTAACACTGGTTTACAAAAGCTTGAGAGAGCTGAGAACGTTTAAGAGCTTTTGCGTGTAGATAGATTGGGTGATAAGAACCAGCACATTCTAAGTTGATGAAAGTGGGTTTTTATAGGTGAGGAAAATTCCACCCGTTGGAGGGAGATGAAATTTTCAAACCTATTGACCAGTGGGTAAGGACCTGGGAGCTTCCTGCATTAAATGCTCCATTAATGAGATTGTACCTTGTAGCCGTTGATGGCATGGAGAGCCTTAGGGTTTTGTCCTTTAGCTTCAGGAAATAGTACATCTTTATTTAATGCTCCTTGGTATGCGTGTCCCACAAGTTGAGGTCCTTTTTATCCTAGGATGTTGTCAAGTCAGATAGAGGAGACATTCTTCTTGCTGTTGGTGAGAAGAGATGTCTTAAAGGATTGTCGTTAACAAGACTGTCCTTTCGTGTTAAAGGACAACTCCTCTTAAACTCTCGTTGAACATGTTTCATTCTTCGTGTCTTCTTTCGTCTTGATTACCCTAACAACTAATCATAACTCGCCTTCGTGTGTTTGGCTAGCTTAACACGAATTACAAGTGAGTTATGGCAACTTTCGTCTAGGACGAAAGCAGCGATCAAAAAGTAATAACGGTTAGGGGTCTACTTTCTAGCTTACATTGGTATCATCAAAATCCTAATACAAGTGTTCCTAACAATTTCTCCCTTTTTGATGATGCCAAAACATATACTCTTCTTATACGGCTGATAAAATGTTCCATAACGGATTTTCTATTACAAGTCAGCCTTGCACGAGAGTTTACAAGTCTTTTCTGGATAAAAGCCATTAATAAGTGAGACAAGGACAAGTAACTCAGACAAGTGACACGAGATGTGTAACAACGAGTACTTTATATAAGGATAATGAAGATTACAAAAACTTTTTAAGATAGACAAAAAGAAGAACTGCTTACTGATCTAGAGGTTTGACTTTTATGGCTTGGCTTTTTCTCGTTCACGAGTATCCCTTTCTTCTTGCTGCTTGAGCATTCTGTTGGTGTCGATATCCTTGTTGATTCGTGCTCTGAAGATCTTGATTGGATTTGTCTTGACTAGATCCTCATATTTTCCTCGAATGTTGAGACTTATGTAATTGTTGTATGCCTCCCGAATGTCTGTACCCGCAATTATTCCAGCTTTCCACCATGAGATGAGTTCAAAGGAATTCATTCATTCTTTGTAACTTTTTCCAGACTCGGTATGCACTTTGAAAGCTGCATTGTAGATAACACCATCCTTAGAGTGTTTGGTTACATTCGAGAGATCTTCAATAAGCTTCTTTACCCGCTCTCTTTCCTTCAGTTCATGCTCTCTTATCCGGGCTTCTTCTTCATGTTTCTCCCATAGTTCTCTATTTTGTCTCTTTATTCTTTCGTTTTGGGTGCTTATGTGATCTTGTCTGGTGTGGTTGTCCTTTGTCTTGAGCCAGGTGGGGACATAGCAACCCTCAAAACGTTTTCCACTACCTTCTTCATAAGGTTTGTATTCAACAAAGTTACCGACTCCATCCATAGTTATCTTTTTGTCCCTCATGAATTTCTGCCTTCGGCTTGCCTTTTCTCTCTTGGAGAGCCCAGCAGATATAAATTTTGATTCAGAGCCATAAGATTGACGAGGCTTGAGAGACTGTGATCTTGGTTGAGAATGGCCACGATTTGAATAATGTCTCGACTGAGAAGGATGGTGGCCACGAGATCTGGATGGAGGATTTGTACTTCTTCGCTCATCTTTTCCTGGTGCATGAGATGGAGATCGTTCTCTCGTGTTCTCCCTCGGATGATCGTCATCCTTATCATCATCATGATGTCGCTTTTCCCCCTTTTTGGCATCATCGGCACATGTGGTAGGAGGAACAATGGGGAGTTGTTTAATTGCATTCAGAATGTCTTGCGAATATCCGAGAGATTGAAGAGCATATTGTCCCAATTGGTATGAGTTGTCTTGGGAAGTGTCGATCTTGGAGCAGGCTAAGTCAACACGTTCTTTAAGAGTGAAGTGAGAATGCTTGAGTTCGTGCTGTTGACGAGCCACTTTGTTGACAACAGTGTGAAGTTCATGGAGCTCCTTGGCCACCCGTTTGTGAAATTGTTGGTCAGGATTGGCTTGCGGTGGAGGTTGAGATGGCTCAGGTGGTGGTGGTCGAGGTTGAGCTTGTGGAGCCATCAACTGATCCACTTTCTTGGACAAGTCTTCCAAGACCTTGGTGTCTCTTTGCCTTAGAATCAAGTACTGCTGATGTATGGTTTCGGCTGCATGGACGGTTTCCCTCATGAGATTCATGACTACTCATGGGGAGACTGGGGGAGAATCTTCTTCTATGTTGGTTTGTGGAGTCTCAACTTGGTCTCCTTGAAGTGGTGCATCCTTTTTGCCACCACTGCCCGAACTTAGGAGGATTGGGGAGGCTTCCAGTTTGCCCTCATTTACAACTGCCTCCTCTCGTTTTATTGGAGTTTCGTCCATGGGTTGAACATGTGGAACGAGAGCTCGAGACAGATCTTCAGGATGATTAGTTGAGACGTCTTCATCTTGTTGTGATGCTTCCCTTGTGCCATCACTGTTGGAAGGTGATTTCTGAGCTGGAGATCTTTCGGGAACAGTGTCATAATCAGGACCTACCAAGAGAGGAGATGGATTGTCATACATTAGATTTGTTCCATTGTTACCATCATTGTCATCATCATTATTATCATCATCATTGTCACCATCATTGTCATCGTTCTCGTCATCTGCATCCTCGACATCATCATCTCTGTCTTCATCTTCTTCATCTTCGGTCGTGTCAATCTCTTGGCCTTGCTCATCTTTCAAGCCACTGACACTGCAGTTAGGATCAATTTGATGTTCTTTCTCCAGGATGGTTTTGACTTTGGATATCAACATGTCATACCGAACAATCTTCATTTCTTCTTCAAATGCTAGGTCCAAAGGAGGTTTGTTGAGCTCTATGCAAATCGGAGCTTTGTCCTTTCCAAGAGAACAATTGGTCATTTTGTAAGAAAACAATCGTCTTATTTTCTCAAGACGCAGTGCTTCATTGAGGTCCTTGGTCTCAAGCCACCCAAGAGCAAACTCTTCTTCATCTTTCATGACTTCAAAGGTTTCGATGAATATGGTCAGAGGGGCTGTGCGCCATTTTTGCCACTGGAACACTCTGGTGTAGTCATTTTCAATGGATTCGCGAAGCAGTTGATCTGGAGATGGAGGAATGGGCGTAGCAACTGGTGGTTTTGTTGTGACTTCGGGAACAAGTATCGATGTCTTCGGAATGTCATGAGTTCCAACTGGCACAATGGCTGATTCATCTGCCAATTCAGGTTCTTGTGTCAGATTTTCTGTTACCTGCTTTGCATTGTCAGGTTCTTGTGGAAGAGATGGAATTTCACTCAATTCAGCAGCCACTTCTTTCGTCTTTGCTGGCAAGCCAGGTTCTTGTGGAAAAATTAAGTAACCGGCCTCCATGTCCCTAGCAGCAGGTTCTTGTGTCGAGCCTTGAATGTTTCGCTCTGCTGAAATGGGTTCTTGTGTATGAAGAACTTGAGGAGAAGAGAGGCCAAGGTTTGGCTCTTGCTGATCAGAAGGTTTTATTAGAGCGATTTCTTTTGGCTGATCTTCCCCCTGAGAGAATGATTCTCTCGTGTTTTCTTCCCCCTGAGAGAGTGTTTCTCTCGGTGTTTCATATTCTTTCGGGGAGGAAGATGCACCAATCTTCGGTTTGACAGGAGAACGAAAGTGTCCTGATTTGCCAAGGTTTGACAAAATCAATTTGTCTTCATCAGAGGAATCTTCGACAACAATTGTGTCTAGAGGAGGAATAGTTGAGGTAAGAGTATTCTTCTCTGCGGGAGACTTTGGTGAGATGGGAGTGGGTGGTGGTGCACTGATGGCTTCCTCTTTTGACTTAATCCGAGATGAGCGCTTTTCTTTCTTCTGTCTTTTCGGCTTTGGTTGGTCATCTTCTGATCCTTTCGGTGTCCTTGACTTTCGTTTAGATTTCACCATTTCTAAAGGAACACCCAACTCCAAAGCTTTCTGCTTGTTATAACCGGAGGGTTTCTGCTTCATGTGGCAGGCTTTTTGTCCTGGACGGATTCCTGGTCTCATGAGAATATCTTTTGAGACAAGTAAGTGACTAACCAAAAATCCATAGCCCAGTTTCTTTGTGATATCACCGGGGCTTTATCTGTTGAAGATGACTGTATGAGCAAGGTTGTTGAAGATGACTTTCGACCAGTCAACTTTGTGTTTGTTAAGAAATGCATGCAACATCTTGAGCTTCTCCT